CTCTCTCTCTCTCTCTCTCTCTCTCTCTCTCTCTCTCACACACACACAATTCTTTTGTCTAATATTTCATCGTCTACATTTCTCTCTCATAATTAATAACCATCATTGTTATTATTATTATCATTGTCATTGTCATCATTATTATCAGTGCATCATTGTCTATATTCGGTCGGAAATCGATACTTTCTTTTATAACTCGTCGACAACTCGACCGCTGGACAAGATATATCCGTGCACCTGTTTACGGCCCATCATTTGTTTATTGTAACACAAACAATAGACTCTTTTCAAAATGACCAACAATGTCTATTAACATCCTTTAGCTATTCACACACTTTCGAAACCATCTTTTCCATCTCGACATCCGTGTCAATGTCGTGATGCACATGACTACTCGTACTGCTATTGATCGGTACCATAGTACTAATGATGGGAGTAGCCACTGTAGTGATGATGGTGGTGGCGGTAGTAGTGGCGGTGGTGATAGTAGTAGTAGTGGTGGTGGTAGTAATGGTGGTAGTAGTAGTGGTGATAGTTGTATTGCTGCTGCTGTTGTTGATGGTGGTGATAATGGTGGAGGAGGTGGTAGCAGTTGCAGATGCTGCGACCGTCGACGGCGTATTCGGTGTTGTGCCTGGAGTTCCTGACAGTTCGATGGGCGAACCTGGCGACAGAAGAGGCTCGGCCAGGTCTTCTAATCCTTCGGGTGTTGGCAGTTTATTCAATTCCTCCCTCAACAGCCTGTAGTGTCTCTGTAAATAGAGAAAATATAAGATAAAGCTATGATCGTAATTATAAAAAAATAACGATCCGTTTCTCTTAAGATAATGCTTACTCTCAGTGATAATGCGTTCAGAGAAATACTTCGACCCGACCTACGATCTGACCCATGCATCTCCATATCTCTTATCCAGCCTTCTAGTTGTGCTACGATTTCGTGCCTCTTCATCCAGAAGTGAGTATGTATCACCTGTTGTAAAACAATAATTTTATTTGTATTAGCTCATATTACCGAAATCGCATGTAAATTTGGTGTCAAAGAGCATTTGAAACCTTTTGTTTAAAGATGATTTCTACAGATTTATTTCTATGTGAGTGAGAAAACGGTGCATGTTGATTTAAATATTCTGAATTACTAGAAAATTTTTGAATGTAAGTTTTAATAAATAAGAGTATATGATTTATAGATGTCAATAACGTACTTCCTTAAAGCACGGGCAAGGGTTGCGTATTTGATCTAGCATCGCCCACTTAGCAGTAGCCTGACAAATATTCGCATTATATTCTTGACTAGACTGAGCACCGCTCGATGTGCCTCGCGAACGTTCATACCCAGGCTCATTGAAGTAGGGTTCGGATACCAGGATTAGTGACTGTATTGATACTAAAACCTTGTTTGAACAAAATTATACAACATTAGTCAATATCGACGTAATGTAATAATTCAATAATAGATACTATAATCCAGAGCTCGGCACACATTGCACATTTAAAGTTCCGTACCAGCACGATGTAAGGACATGTTCGAACCTGTTGCGACCTGTGATTTTTTGGTATATATTTTACATTATTTCCAGTAGTTTTATTTTCCAAAACTTTACTTTCCAAATATCCATTAGTGGTGTTAGAAAATTTGTCTTATTAGGCACCATATATTGAAAGTAAGAGAGGGAGAGGGGGAGAGAGAGCGCGTGTTGCATATTTCGACCGATTTTCGATTCCGCTTAGCGCCATTCTCTTTACTTCATCTTAGAAAGCTATTAAAAACATATGTTTACAAGTCATACGTTCTTGAGTTTCAAGCGACTTGTAGGTTGCGTGAGACGGCAAGATAAAGTGGATAGCGCTAGGCGAAATAAGTCGAAAATTGTTATTGTAACTGTTATATGTATATGGTGACTGGTTGTTCTGAAACTTAAGCCGTATGCAACAATTTGACATTCTAAATAAATTTTTGGAAGATTATGTTATTATGTTGGTTTAACAATCGCCATTTTTCGATTATAGTAGATCCTTGGAAATAATTCCGAGGTTCCAAAAAAATCACTGGTCACGTTTGAACACGTCCTTACGCCACGGCGATTAGGCCGGAATCTACAAAATCGAAAATTAGTCGAAATGTGCAATACATGTCGAGCTTTACTGTAATCCATTGTAAGTATGCAGATGTACAAATCGATCGGATTAAATCAGTAATATGATACGGACAAATCTTTTCGGCCGGACCCTCGTGAGCATGCATTCATTAATTACGTCACAGCTGCGTCACAAACAGGCGCGCTTTGGCGTAACAATTTCATTGCATATTTAATATGTTTATATTACTGAGTTTCACTCAATTTCCATCAGAATTAAATAGGGGAAATCCCCGCTCATTACGACTTTATACTGTCTTTATATTAAAGTAGTAATAATACTATTATTGGATTTTTTTTTACTGTTATGAGATAGTAGCTAACCAAACCAAACCCAACCTTATAACCCAACCCAACCAAACCAAACCCAACCCAACCTTATAACCTAACCCAAACCTAACCTAGCTAGTAGCTGTGTTCTATGTATGCATAACTGTAAGGAGAATCATCGACTGTGATTAGTCAATTTTGTTACTACTTAAGTTTTACCACTTATTTTTCTGTGTGTCCCTAGCCTAACTCTAACTTACTGAATTACTATACACCGATTCAGAAAGTTCTTCGAAAAAAACAGACCTTTTGTCCCATTCTTCACATCACTGATCTAAATAGATTTTTCCTGCTTATTACGATCAGCTCACCTGAAGGAAACTACTAGTGTGTGCATTCCATTTCTCCTCGGGCCGACCGTGCCACGTGTTGAGTACGCTGAGACAGACCTTTCCGTCATTGTATAAATTCGGATTAAAGCGCACAGTGTGACGGCCAGTTGTTTCTAGGTTTATCAACATTGGACTATTAGGATAATCAGGAGGGAAGTACACATCAAATTCAAAACAGCCGTTTGCGTACGGCGTTTCTGCCGGCCCTGTTATGAGTACCTTCAAAAATCGTATATATTATGTTAAATTACGCATATATGTGTGAGGTCATTGAGCCAATTTCAAACTTCAAGCACTAATGTGATAGAGGGCAAGTTTCTTCTTGTGGAATCGAGATAGCATCGTAACACCACATACTGTCATGAAATATATGAAGTATTAATAGAGAGATATTAAAGTAAATGAAACACATTTTTCTATCCATTCTCGTATTACAATCTTTGACATTCAATATAATACGGTTATTAAATCGAATATTAAAGATTGCAATAAGTAGATGTATACCTTATTTATTTTAGCAATTCAATAATTATTGCAAAAATACGCGTCTGTGCTTGAGGATTAAACGGCTGTTGAGACAACGTTAACTCTGCTATTCTATTAGTTTTCTACACTATATTACATGATGTTAATCGGCGCTTAGTTAATTGGCGACTTTAGAAAAAAATCTCCGAAATAGCAATTTCGACGTTTTGTCAAAAGTTAAAATGTATCAAATAGACTTGAATAGAGTAGCAGAGTTAAATCGAGTATGACGTGAAAGATAAGATACCTTCATAACATCCAATCTGTCTGCGTCGCATCTCACAAACACACTACTGCTGTAGGACAAAGGCAACGCTGTCGAGAGGGTGACAGCTTCCTGGGCTAATCTCTTCACTCGCGTCGGATGGCTCCTTTCACCAGCGGCCCTCATATTCGATTCGAAATGATACGAAACCGCGAATTTGTAGCCTCCACCATCTGGGTTCTCGGTGATCATTTCATAAGTATCTGAAAAATTAATATACGAGTATCAACTGAACGTTAGATTTTTAACAATCACGATTACATCGAAACAGAGCATTGCTTACCGAATTGTAGATTTTTCATCACTTCTAGATAACGATGCTCTATGGAGCGCAACGGTAACTCCGGCGCGATCGGACTCGGACCAGGTAATTCTTCGCCGATACCGGACAATCTGCACGTGGCGTTCTGTACTATGGTCGCGCTCTCCTGAATGTCGGGAATCAACGTGGCTAAACCTTCGTCTTGCTCGCTGTCGTCCGGATATTTGGAAACGCTCTTCGACTTGTTACCCCTGGTACGATTGATTTTGTGCATGTATGTATCCACGCACACTTTCATACTCGACAGAAGAGATACCACAGATGGTTCGCCGGATCTGCCACCTCGCGGCAACAAAAGCGGCGCCAATTGGGTAGATAGCGCCATTGCCCTAAGCAACTGCAGGACCGCTCGATATAAGGGAATATGTCTAGCCATATCGAGAACAGAGTCGTTACGCAGATATGAAGATAACGCCGGTAATAAACAGGAACGAGCTAGCAAGTCGGGGAATCCTGCGGGTAACTCTCGCTGAGGCTGTCCGCCTCCCGAACCGATGTAGCTTGCAAGAACTTGCAACAATACTGTCACGTGTTCGTCTTCGCATCGCTGTCGCAGCAGTGCTTGCTCCACGTTCCACGATTGTTGCGTAGATCCAGTACCGAAGCCAGTGCCCTTAGCCCAATATAAGTGGGAATTATCGTCGTTGCGCATTCCGCCGCCCCCGCTAACGCCGCTACTACTGCTGCTCTGTCCAGTTCTCTGCTCAGTAGGCTCATTTTGGCCGGTCTGGTGCGTGAATATCGCCAAGCAATTCAACAACAATAACATAGCTCCCACCTCTATAGTCGTTCTTCGTAGAAGCAGTCCATCGTCGGTGGTCGGCGGAGTAGCATCCAACAGTTGCTTGAGAACTTGGAACGGCAGGGTCGGTAAAGAGGCAGCCAAAGGTGAGGATAATACCTCGCCACCTTCTCCATCGTCGGAAACCCCAAGGGCGAGTCGCAGTAGACATTGTGCTCGCTTCTTGTCTCTCAGTAGCACTTCAGCGTAACCCGGTAATCGGAGGAACAAACCGAAAGCGGCGAGAGAATGTGGCGGCACGTATGGTGGTGGCGTCGATGTTTTCGGCGAAGAAGTGTACGTTCTACCTTCTTCCAAGGCTTCATAGATATCATCGTTAGTCTCTAGTTTCACCCAGTCGGCATCTGTTTGTTCCGGCGACGGTGACTTCTCTACGAAGGATAACGGTCTACCGGAGTCAGGATATACGAGCGGTAAATGGCGTGCCAAGACCGCCAATCCACCGCCAGCGCTAAACACACCTAGCGAACTTTCGATGCTCCTATAGTTCAGCAATTCGCTGTCGTTTTGTTTCGTTATGTCCTCTGCAAGGCGAAAAAACGTATCGTAAGCAGTTGTACATCAATATCATCGTTGTTTATTCAATGAAATATTGTTTTGGTTAAACACATGGTGTGTATATACAGGATGTTTCGGTAAAAGGAAACAATCTTTTAAAAGCATATAAATCAGATAAAAATAAGCTTATAAGTTCATGTAAATTTTTTTCCTACAGTGTACTTTTGCTGAACTATTTGCCTTTGAAGTTAGAATCTAAAAAAAAAGCATTTTCTAAAAATAATTTTTATATTACTTACTAGATTTTAATAATCTTTGCATTTTCATACTAAGCGAAGATCGTTAGAATGGTATGATATATTTTGTGATATTACGTCAACGAATATGCGTCGAACCGTCCACAAGCTTTTCGAAATAAGATGATTAATATGTTGCACTGACATTGTAAATTTGACCTAACATATCTAAATTAACTAATTATAGTTGACACTTAATCAGTCATTTAAATTAATCAAAGATAGTGAAATTAACTTTAAGTCGATCACCTGTCTCATAGAATAAAATGCAATCATAAAATTCACCAAAGTAGAGTTCATGTTCCATCTCTACATTTCAATATCTATAGGCGGCAGTTAATACATAAAAATTAGTCTTAAGTACCTTTAGAATCCTTGTTACGTTGACGCAAGATCAAATGTAAATATGGTTCCGACAACGATACACCGCTGTCTTCGGCGATTGCCAGTAGTTGCGCAATCGTAAGCTGAAGAGGTAAAGGTGTGTTGGGACGAGATGAATGTATGAGATACTGTTGATTTGTCGTATTGGTTTGATTCGCCACTGGAACTTGTCCATTGCTGGTCGTAGGTTTGCTCGTAATCGGCGTTCCATCTGTAAAGACAATGTGAAAGCAAGTAATTATAATAATTTTTTCAAAAGCATATAAATTATTTAATTTTGAAAAATAATAAAAAATAACATCAACAAAAAATCTTATCATTATATCAGTCTTGGAATTTTTTTCTACGAATTTTGAATAGATTCCGACTTTCCCCCAAAAGTATAAAGATATCAGTGATTTCTTAAATAATTTTAAAAAGTTCAATATTGAAACATCTATTATTTAATTTATTAAAATATAATAAGAAGCATTAATAGCGAACATACCAGAATTTAAACGCGGTTTTCGCACGATAGGACCACGAGCTTGAGATCTATTCGACGCCTCTTTAGCCCGCTTGTCTTTCGCCGTATTTCCAGCGGCCACGCTGAGCGTATCTACCATCAACTCCATCGGGGGTTGCCAAACCGGTTCACCGACACGGTTATTTTCACTGGAACTTGCTTCGTTACCTTTATACGTATTTGGAAGTAATAGAAGAAACCAAGTTCCTTAAAAATAAAATTCCACACGGCCGCGTAAAAATATATTATACATAAAAGTATATCTCAATCTTTTCCAACACTGATTTTCTCATCGTCTACGGATTCCTCTAACACTACCACTAACTTTTCTAATGTTAATTTATACTAATTATTATTTCTCTCTAGTCTTATTAAGTTTTCCATTATTAATACTTGTGCAGGCATACCTGATACTTTACGTAATATATCCGCTACCGTAGCTTGAGTCGGCATGTATAACAGTTGATGATAATGACCAAACGGATGAGCAGGATGAGGTGACATGGACGGCATATTGTAATTCGTCGTTCCTGCTATAACTTTCATAGGAGCTTCTGAAGTCACCGAAACTAATACTTTCTCTCCTTCCAAGAGCAATTGCAGAATCAGTCTCCGAGTGAATCCGGAAATACCATGAAGATATCGTACATCTAATTGTAACATATTAAAGTCAAGGAGAACCATTCACAAGATTTACATTATTGAATTAATCAATTTATTATGTTTAGTTATATGTTTAGTTAATTGTGTGTGTGTATGTGCGCTCGTGCGCAATGTGTGTGTGTATGTGCGCTCGTGCGCAATGTGCGTGCGTGCGTGCGTGCGTGCGTGTGTGTGTATGTGTAGTTATAATATATTGAGTGAGAGAGAGAGGATGTGTAAATGTAAAAGTTTTGATAAGTTTCTTAAATATGTCTACTCTTCCGAGTTTACTTACTCGAAGTCATTCGCTGCTGAGAAACGACTTCGGTCAAAAGTTCAGCCAGCAATTTCTGGTTGGCCTGATGACACCAGCAACATCTTGACAAGAATTTGATTATAGCGCTCTCCAGCGATGTATAAGACGCGCTTATTTTTGAACACCTGTAACATATTGCGATATATGTATATAGTAAATTCATAATTAACTCTACACAAGATGCCTTTGAGGTCCGAGACCAATCAGAGGAGATTCGGTGAAACGTGATCGAGTTTGTCACTTTATGTATAACAGATTGCTTTTTTTGCTTTGACATCTCTTAATATCTAAACTTTTTACGAAAATTTAGTAAAATAATAGAAAATTATAAGTCATTTGCACTAACTTAATAGAAATATGCCAACAAATAAAATGTGTATTCCACTGAAAAAGATTTTGAATTAACTTAATGTTGCATCCATGTATGTTGTTTTATTTTTACAGCTTGTATAACACTGCGATAAATATAGCAAGCTTCTAATAAAGTATTATCTAAAAACCATGTGAAGAATACCTTGATGCAGATGCTGACGAGTTTTCAATGGGACGATTGCTGAGAAGTGATAAAAGAGGTAACCAGAAACCACGGCCTTCTTTACCAAGCCAGTCTCGCATCCTGCCTTCCGAACACACGAGCATTAAGAATTCAATCACCATCGCTATGCTGTCCGGTCGCATCATACATAGATCGTCTAGAAAAGATAATACAGATGAGTATCAATAATATATTCCATGTAGAAATAAAAGTAATTTGTTTCCCAAATCATATATAAGTATATATACATATAAAATATATATGGAACAAAAAAGATTATTATATCTCCATGTGACACATATACACACATGTGACACATACACACATTTAATTTCTTACAAATATAATTTTAAGACAGTGTGGATAATTGTCTTGAATACCGTAATCAAGAAACTTGTGGCTCCTGCTCACAGGACGCGGCAACACAGGCTTGCCGCGCGGCGGAAGTTCGTGCAACAGCCAAACAAAATGTTGCTTTCCGTAATAACCTTGTAGCTCTCACAGAAAAACAACATATTGATTGGCTGTTACGCGAACTTCCGCCGCGCGGCAAGCGTTGCCGCGTCCTGTGAGCAGGAGCCATTATTCACCGAAATAATCCCATTTCGATTCAAAAATAGGATTCTCTATCTTACCATTATCCGAAAAACGGACATTTTCAGTTGTATTATTCTCGTTGCTATCACCCGATGCCATTGTGGTCCGTTGGTGTTGTTTGGATTTCTCCAAATTGCAGAAATCTAAATATCAAAGTAATCTGTAAGTTTCAAATACGGTTCACTTATATTATTCTTTGATTTAGTGTGAAAAATTAACCTGTGATCAATGCTGTTAGCAGCGCTGGGAAACCAGAGTCGATTAATTGCTGAATGCCAGGTGGAGAGCGCGCCGCCGCAGCAACGGTCAGTAATTGACCCTCCGTCAAACGTAATCGTTTGTACTCCAGCAATACAAAGCGGCAATACCATTCCTCGGCGTTGATTTCGCTTTTTTTATCATCCGTTTGCCCTTCACTTTTTTTACGATCGTCGGATATTGACGCGGAATGATCCGTCGCAAGATTTGGGACCAAGATTCGTACTCGTTGCAAAAGCAAAGGAAACAGCGATGGCCTCACGTAGCAAAAAGCGCAGAGAACCGAGTCAATTGCCTGTTTCAAGACAAAATTCTTGCCGAGAGTGAGAGTCCATTGGTACAGTGAGCTACACAATGAATTGTCCATATTAATTACGTGTTACGACTCAAGTAAGGAAATTCAATAAGCAACTCCTTACAAGTAAGGAAATTCGATAAGCAACGTCAAGTACTAAGCAGTAATTCTTACTTAAACAGATCGTCCGTCAGCAGCACCTGTAGATCATAATTATGGTTTTGTTGTTGATGAGTCTTCCAGATGATCGAAGATACACAGTGAATATATACAGCTGACGGGTTGACGGAATTAGGATTGCTATTCGTATGAAATACTCCATTCGTAGCTGACGTCTGCAGCCAACCGAGAACGGCTTTCATACGAGCTTCAGTGCTAGAATCTCTAATGGAACAGAGTTGCTGAAGCAATTCCACGACTAACTGTACAACAGATGTTTTTCGGGATGTCACAGCCCCTGTGAAATGTCGATACAAATACGTTAGCTGTCGTTACAATCCCGTGATCGTGAGAAAGGAGATTATTAAAGATATATCGTTCAGAGACGGCCTTGGTACTCGAGGAATTCGAGGCAATTAAGAGTAATTCTTTAAAATTAGTCTAAAGTAACATACTCAGATTTGAATTCCAAGTTAGATGAGTTTTTCGCGAAATAAATCGCGAGTACAGGTATAAATATCATGTATATAATAATTTAGCTAAAAAATATAGATCTAAGTTTGAATAAAAACCTCGCATAAAACAAGACAGATAGATAGATGACAATTATTAATACAAGCCTGAATGATTTAAGATTTCCTTTTTGATATCTGTCTTGTAGTCTATGAATTAGGCCGTTTCTGATTTTGTTTGCGGAAAATTGAAAACGTTTCCCATGAAGCAATACCTTGGAAGAAAGGAGTAGACCTGTTGTTGAGTAAGAGACCAATGAGATGGAGTCCAAGCTCACGAGAGTGTAAACCAAGTTGTAATAGAACCCTTTCCAGGTTGGCAGTAAAGAGAGATGGTGCTGGGAGTAACAGGAGATTGCAGCATGCTTCGACCAGGCCTTCGACCGAAGCGGCGGAATTAAGCACCTCGGTAGCTAAATTACTGTTCAATGTGCTTACCGATAAACATTGATGCAGTAATCGCAGCCACCCCAAGCTACACACAAATGTTATTAGAAATAATACCTTCGAATTTTCGTAGCCTCGAAAAATTGTTCACTCATTTTGCAAGAAAAAATACCATGTATTTAATAATTTAGCATTAATTAGAATCTTTCAAAAACAAGATTTCTATTATAATCCAAATATTTCTTTATAGTACAATTTCGACTTGTAACAAATTAATACGATTATTCGAGACAACGATGAAGCTATCGTTTGACTTTAGAGATATTCAAATAATTCGAAATAACGACGTTACCTAGTCTTTGTCAGTTGTTCTTCATCTATCATGTCAAAGCTCGTTTTATTCTCACCAAACGCAGTAGTTCCCATCAGTTTAATTTGACTGAGGCTTACGTTCGTCGAGTCGCGCGGCTTGTATAAGCGCACCAATACGGAAGTCACGACTTCTGGTTGAGACAACGTAAGACGTATGTATGTTAAGCCTGCCGTCGGCATCGGTGGACAAACAGGCATCACCGGACTGTTGTTTTCTCTAGATATTTCAAGAGCCACGGCTGAGGGACACGCTGTTGAACACAAATATGTATTAAAAAATGACACATCTAAGTTGCTCGTTACGCATTTGTAACTTTATACTTACTCCTTTGTTATGATATCAAAACATTAATTCTTTTTAACTAAACTAAATTGTACTTTTTACCTTTTAGTGAAATAAATATATAACCTAACGTAAAGGGATATCGAAATGTCATAAATAGAAAAGTACAAGTAAAAAAGAACAATGTGCCATATATGTAGGCAATTTGCTAATACTGAGTAATAGAGGCGTAGCAATATTTTATTTGACTTCATGTTAATGGGTGCTTCGAACAAGAGACACAGTGTCGACACAAGTGCCTTCCTACAATGACTCAACATGACACAAATCAACACAGCTGAAAAGCAGAGTCAAAATGTATATCACTATCATGGCTACCAACTTTAATCAATATTATAATATTTGTAGCTGTAAATACTCTGTTAATTTATGGTTAGAGTTAATGTGTGTGGTTTATGGTTATGGTAATGTAGTGTACTTGAATGTGTGTGCTTAAATATATAAATTAATTATTTATTACTTTCCATTAATGTTATGTGTTTATATCAATTTTTCATTTTTATTTATGATAATAATAATTAATCTGTTAATTATTATTAACATGAAAAAACTTACTGTCAAAACAGAAATAATCTTTACATCTCTCTAAAAATTAAATTAATTAGGAGTTGTAGGCTAGGTTAGGTAACTGACTGATCTTTTTATATCGTTTAAGTCATTTAGTAATATTTAATGTGATAACGCTATCTTGCGACTAATTTGAAAATTAGAGTGTTCCACCAAGCATCTATGCACTGTGTACAATTGTGTGATACAGTGTCTCACTGTGTTCCCTTATTGGAAGGCACCCAATGTATGCATGCATCTAATGTGCAACGTATATGCATACATCTAATGTGTATACATGTACATACAGTTGTACATACATAATCAAATAAACAGCACCAATGGATTCGAAAACTAGTATGTATTTGTGTGTGTTGCTCTTCTTCATCTTTATATAAAATATATCCTATCATATATGCAGATCAATTATAGTTTACAAATCTTCAACTTTTTTAAATTTAGTCTTCCATATTGTATTCTGATGTATTTTTTTATAAAGTTCTGATAGATCATCTACGCAGTGTTCAACTTTTACTTTATGTATATAAACTCTTAATTTTCTACATAAAATGTAAATAAAATGCATATTTAGTTACGAATGCTGTTTAAAATAATTATAAAAATTTTTCTTATATACAGACTGCAACGCTATGTATTAACATTTATACATTAACACTGTACAAAGATTTACAATTCTGTGAAGCCAAATAAGAAAAATTTGCAAACTACAAAAGCTCATTTTAACATTGCGAACTCACTGGATAATGCCGAGTGATGTGGCTGCAGTTCCACCTGCCTGAGCAAGATAGCGCACGGCAAAGTGATTGTGAGGTCAACCCATTTCTCATCAGGGTAATAGTGATATGACCACGCGGGTGTTCTCGCACGTTTGTGAGGTGTGGTGTTCTGTATGAGGACATCTGGAGGTTGCGCGGTAGCGCAGGAGATTGTGCCGAGCGGAGCAAAGTTCAGCAATCCGTCAGAGTTTGATTCCAATGAACTGACAGCCTTCTTACTGCTGCTGCTACTGCTACTAGTCGTTATCGGCATTACGTTGGGTGCGTTGGACAAATGTTCCATGACGAGAGCAATTACTCCACCTGAGGCGGAAGCACTAGCGGCACCACTGTTGCTAGATTTCACGAGATTCTGACAGACTACCTTCACACCGCCCATCTCGGTGAAGATGGATAACGATGATACGTTGTCCAACACTCTCAAAATATACCAAAGAAGAGGCTCAGACAACTGCATAACTCCTAATTGGCGATCCAGCTCAGTCTCTCCACATGCTATAAAGAAAAATTCATTTGAAGTAGTTTTTTTCATGTTCTTTATAACATTCAATACGAAACTGTCTGTTTTGATGTATTACAATCGGGAAGAATATTAAATATATGCAATAAGATCAATGTTTGATTATCTAGAACAGGGTTCGGTACATTTTGCCCATTTCGGTCGATTTTCGGGAGCTGCGCCTTCTATCTTCCCCTTGTCGCGCAGCAAATGACGGTCGCGGCCAGTCGCAGCTCCAAGCTTAGAGGCACGACCATCACTTTTTAGGCTCGTCGCCTGGCAAGGGGGAGATAGAAGGCGTAGCTCCCGAGAATCGGCTGAAATGTACAAAATGTGCCGAGCCCTGATCTAGAATAAAGTATTTTTCTTAGACTTCTTTTTCTATAAATCAATTATAAAAAATATTAAATCGCAATTTATAAATTTTAACTATTTTTCATTATATTTTGAAAATCATTAAACCATTCACTTCCCGATTATATCACTCATAACAATTGTCACGTAAGATAAAAGCTTTTTTGACATATGAAGTCTTACACGAGGAAAGATAGTGGTAAAAAGGCTTGAGAACCAGAGTCGGATTGCTAGCCTTCTTCGTTAAAATTGTCAGAAGAAGGAATATCGCATCTGGTATTGAGGCTGGATCTCGGAGTTCAGTGGTAGACACAGTGCTCGAGCTTCCACCTAGGAGCATAGCTAACGAGGACCCCGTAATATGACCAAGAGTACTCAGTAAACGCATCATAGTCGGCTCGTGCTGCAAAACTATAGAATGAAGGAATTTATTAAACTGTGTACGTAACAAAGACAGATATATTATCTTTGTGTGTGTGTGTGTGTGTGTGTGTGTGTGCGTGTGCGCGCGCGCGCGTGTACGTATGCGTCTGTGCGTGTGTGTGTGTGTATGAACAATTTACCAGTATCGGCGAGGCAAGGTACGCAAGATTTACTAGTTGTTGGCTGTTGCAGACGAAACGAGGTTTGTTGTTCCGCAACTTTGCTTTCATCTGTTTGCGAAATGTTTATTTGCACTTGTGGTTCGTTCGTGCTAGCTCTGGGATCCGAGGTTGCCTCCGATAGTTCCTCCTCTGCAGGCTTCTCCGTGCAATTTTCACGAGACTGCCAAATATACGTGAAAATAAATAACATGAAAAAGAGGATACATAATATTTTCCAATAAATCTATACGATTATATATACTATGTATTGTGTATGAAAATTAACTAATGTGAGATAATATTTATAATTGCAAAAAATTTGTATCCCAGAGGATTGTAAATTTTGAACAAGTTACATATTGATCCAACTTATAAAAAAATATCACAATTTGGCAAAATATATAGTTTATGCATTAAATTACAAAAATGGATAATTTTGTAAGTATAAAATGATAAAGAATACATACGCCTGGTAGTGGAGTTTGAATAAACACACACACTAATTTAACGAGAGTCACTATCAAAGTATCCCACGACGCTGGGCGACCTTGTCTCGTATCGCCACCGAGTACGCAAGCAAATAGACCGCCAAAACCACCGGAACCAACAGATTGGTTGGGTAAAGCGAGTGCTCCCCCACATTCCGCACCAACTGTCACAATTTTACTAGTAAGATTTTCATAAATCTTTCAGATGTGAGGTCAAACTAATCCATAATATTGATCTTATCTTTAAAAATTGCATTACGAATAAGCTGATTTCAATATATTCTTCCTTTATATTATCGATATTTAAAAGGAAATACTACTTTTTAGACATAAATCAGTAAAAACTAATTAATGTCTTTACCTCCGGATCCTCTGACATAAGTTGAAACCAATACGCCAACACATTCGGATATGTTCATGGCGATGTTTAAATCGGCATTAACATAATTTAGATTAACTACGGACGTTAATAGCTTGCATTGAACATCCAAAGGTCCTCTTCTTGTTATAAGAGCTCCACCCGGCTGCACGAGTTGATACACTACCCATAACAGCAGATCCTTCAGGGAATTACCTAAGAAACTATCCGGTGTAATGACGTCGCACATTACTTCCAGTCTAAGGAGAAAATCGTGCAACGCTTGGCAGACTGTAGGCCCAGCCTAAAAAAAACAAATATGTTATAATAAATAACCGTAAATCTGTGTCCATAAATTATATCAAATAATAAATAAATAATAAAAATAAGATTGTCTGATTTTTTTGTGACTTTCGGCTATTTATCTTGTCCAAGGATTTGTTGGGTAATAAAAGAATTTTCTCATTGAACAAGACGGATACGTCCCGAAAGTCACAAAAAAAATCGGACAACCTTTTCGATACAAGGTGGCAAAAAAATTAAAAATTCTATAACAAAGAAAGAAGTTTATAATAGATTATATATATATATATATATATATATATATATATATATATATATATATATATGTATATATATATATATATTTATATATATATATATATATATATATATTTATATATAGTGGATTGAATAATACTCACCATAATATATTGTTCATCCATGGTACTAACATTCAATCCATTCCCGGAAAGTAGACGTAACAACATGGGACCAGTATTATGTTCTTTAACAATGCAACTAGCCACACAAAAACCGCTAGTCGCGAAGCCATCTAAACCTTGATATCTTTGCAACGATTGGTTGCAGACGATAGTTAAACATTGTAAACCAAGACACCAAGCACGTAAAGAAATCCCGGAATGCCTAAAATTCAACGCAACTTATATATTAATTTATGTATTAACAAAATATATTAGTGTAGAGTACGTTACATCCATCAAAGTATATGTAAATTTGAAATATTTTATATGCCACTTACCAAGAAAGTGCAGATATAAGGTTACTAATGGCTGCTAAACTTAACGGAATTACGGGTGTCAGAGAAGAATCAAATTGAGAAGAAGAGTGTGAATGTTCGTTAGGAGTATCCATGTTCAGTGTTAACCAAAGTTGCAGAACGAGTTCCAGATTCATACCATTATTCTGCTATATACAGACAAAAGATAATAAATGAACAATCGTATAAATAACGTATTTAAAAAATACAATATCACTGATTATATAAACATTAAATTGGCACGAAAATATTATTGCGTACTTATTATATAAAACCGAAAATAAGATATTAGTTGTGTGTGTTCCAAAGTAATTTTTAAACAAAGTTTTTTTTCTTGAAAACATTTCAGAAAACAAATCAGAAATTTAGTATAAAACGGCACTTGAAACAAATTTTTATTACTAAACCAAGAGTATTAATGTTATTTTTTCTATTTCTCTCCCTATTCCTTGCATACAATTTTCGAACTCCCTTTCCTTTTCCTGACCTTCCTTTTCTCTTTTCCCTTCTATGATTATACTATATCCTTATTTAACTATTATCCCTATTTCCTATGTTTATTTAAATAAATTTGATTTTTGTTTCAATTTTTTTTCCTAAGAAACACTCTGTAACACCTTGCGAACGTTTCTGCTAATTGCAAATTATATATTATCACAAATACAAAATGATTCTTTTTGTATTTTTGTCAAAATAAGTCAAATATCTTTGCCCATTTCGCATCTCCACAATGACTTCTGCAGACCCGTACTTTACTCCAAAGACAAATCATTTACCTGCAAGTATAAATCCGTGAACATTTTATCAAAACATTTCGTTAACATTGAAAAACTCGAAGGGGTAGGATCAGAAGAATTCCAGGTTTCCTGACTTCTATCACCCCAATCCGCATCGGTTTTCGGCATGGATGATTGTTGACCAGGACGATTTGATTCCATAGGCATCTATAATGTATTGATAAAATTTATTTGCGTAGTATCGTATATAGTCCCTTCAAGATACTTATTCTGGAAGCATGAATCGTATATACTACTCGAAACGACTAAAAGATCATCAAACATTTCCAGACAGAACAGCAGTACTTGAAACGACCTTTTAATTATTTTGAGCAAAACACAAAGAAAACGGTATACAAACTAACGTGTATTGGTGCATTTATACTGTGAGGTAGATTGTACATGCCAACTGTGGACAATATCCTCAATGATATTTCTACACCCATTTCGACTCCATATTCCAATCGTGCATCCATCGCCAAAGAGATACTGCTAACAATATACATTGCTTATTATTTCTTTTAGTCAAACACTCATACGTGTTATATTAAGTTGATGCAAAAGATTAATTATTTTTTCATTAGATGTTCGCAAGAAATTATATTATAAATAAATAAATAAATAAATATATACATGTATATATATATATATATATATATGTGTGTGTGTGTGTGTGTGTGTGTACAGAAACACCCTGTACACTATAGAAGGAGGAGGGTATACTAGGTGGCAGCGGAACGCCGTGCGCTCGAGATCTACATATCTTTTCGTTCCGGAGAGAGAAAAATATCGAGAGCGCGGTTTGCTAAGCCAGGACTCGAACCCGGGTCTTTCGCTTGCCGGGTGACTGCTCTAAACCACTGAGCCATCTGACACTCCACGCTCATGACACCCTCCTCTTCCTAGATAACGCTCAGAGATGCCGTTCGGAAGCGAATCTCTGGCGCGATCCCGAGCGCACGGCGACTACAGAGAGAAACAATGTTACTGTATCAAATGGTACAGCTGTCAGTTTTTCAAAGTCAAAAGTTGCTATCCTTTAAGACCTGCTGTCCATGTATGCCCGTCTCCACCGTTGCCCCTCCTCATCCGGTGCAAATAATACAAATAAGCCCCGGGGTCGACACCAATTTTTTGGCAGCCCCCGGGTGCTTGGACGCAATGCGCCATGGGGGATCCACCATAGAAGGAGGAGGGTATACTAGGTGGCGGCGGGACGCCATGCGTTCAAAATCTGCGTATCCCGCATAAGACGTGCTAAAATCTTAGATCTGATACTGCATGATAAGCTCGCGAGCAAACGTTAAAAGATTAAAGAAAAACAGACGCTGAATAGTTGAGGGTAGAACGCTCGCAACATAATAATATAGCACACAGATGTCGACGCGCGATGATTGGAAAAACAACGCACCATTGCCTATACTTATATCGCTGCACTCCTACATCTCACTTCGGCGCGGTACGGCAAGGATCAAAGCGATATAAGATGCGCGCTGACATCTACCTGCTATATTACTGAGTCGCAAGCATTCTTCCCTCAACCATTCAGCGTGCGTTTCTCCTTCATCTTTTACAATTAATTTCTCGGTTATTACCGTAAATATCGCAAAACGGTATAGTTTGGGTACTTTTATGTTCATCTCAACCCGTTCAACATTCCCACTTAATGTGAGAAGAAGAGTGGGACACCTTGTATATATACATATATACACATATATATATATATAATATAAAAGGAAAATAGAATATTTTTCTTACATGTACAAAATACCGAATTAATTTTGTCTATCTTATTCATAAAAATTTTTAATTCTTCGAAATTAGATAATCTTGTTCCCTACTTTATTTAACAAACATGGCAAATCTTTTGCACCAACCTAATAGGAAGTTGAAATTATGAATAAACTTTCATAAGAGAGCAACCTCACTCTAGAACAATTATTGTTCGCGAAAAATTTGAGATAAATACCCAGTAATAGCCGAAGTCAGGATCTTCGATACCGTACTACCCTTCTTTAACATGTTTCTTCCGCGTTCTAATATATCGTCCAGAAACTCTTCCAATTCACTGTCGTCAGATTCCAAAAGGGACGGCAAGAAGCCATTAGACTTTGATGTGGAGGCAGCCGTAGATGTTACTACAATACTGTCTTGCGCGTCTTCTTCTATGTCCACTTCAGCAAATCCTTCGCTATTGTTTAATGTAGCAACGGAAGAAGCGCTGGTACCCGCAACATTACTCGAATCTTCTTCAGTCGTATGACTTTCATCTGTACCCATTTCAAAACTCTCTTCCGTCGGACTACCTTCGTGCATGGGACACGTTCTAGGAAATAATCGTCCTCCTGCAAATGAAGTTTTGTTTACGTGTTACATGCATAAAAATAACGGAAGTCTCAATTGTATATTTTGCAAAAAATATATAAAATACCTTCTAGTAGATCCAATAGAAGACATGAAACGGCATGCGACGACCATGTAGCGTCGGACGTACCTGTCGCCAATCTGACTAATTTTAAGAGTTGTTCTTCGGTCATAAGCTCGCATAAGCTAATTGCAGGACGTGTTGATACCACTAGCCTAGCGACTACCTATGTGTGATAATTTATAAATATAATGGTACGCGCATATAATAATTAGAAAACTATAAAGTTTGGTCTCCGGATTTCATCAATTCATTTTTCTTGAATATTCAACCAATATCATATTTTCTCCTACTTCCTCTTTGTCCTCTGTTCATCAACTCTCCAAATAATAAATTTCTACTTGTTTATAAGATGAGATCTACTGACAAATGTCTACTGAGCGAATCAATATCAGATTGTTTTACTCTCCGTCATAAAATTAACAAAAAGGTCCATAAACTGTCAGAAACAAATCCATAAAAATTGCGGTTTCAACCCGGAAGCCAAATCTAACATTTCTCTGCGCCCCCCGCGAAAGCCTCAAATATTAAATTATAAAGCTATATTGATTGTAGAAAAAATCAAAATTGTTTATTAACTACTGATAACAAAATTAAGCCGATTAAAATTATATTGACGTTAAAATATTCATACGCCACTTCATAGAAATAACACCGGACATCGGATTATAGATGAGAAACTATATATTGTAAATTGTGTTCACAAATCTTGCAGAAGCCTTACCTTGCATGCTAACAGAAACATATCCACATTAGTGGTATTGTGTAGAATTAGTGCGACGAGACCACGTGCCACTGGTAAAACGTACTGATGAGACAAGTTAGTCACATATTCGACTTCTAAATCTACAACGTCTGACTTGCTGAAATTTACGCAACAGAGATTATAAATGATTTTCTAATTATTACGTACTAAAAAATAAAAAAGAATGTTGGGGATCATTTATACCAACCTGCTAGATGCTGCTGAAGCGCGTGGACTCCGTGAAAGATGTTGCGTCTCGTTCCTCCGAATGCCGAGAATGTCCTTATAATGCTTAGCAGAATGCTGCTTCAACGTCTTTTTGAAGTAACGTTCTTGAGACTTTATGGTCGCTTCCACTTTACTGTACAACGTAGCTGCCTGAGAAGAGAGAGTGGCCCACCCCTAAATACATTGTGTGCCATTGTATTCTTTTATATTTAATAATAAAATTATTCACTGTACTTGTACGTAAGAGTCAACGTGTGTTAATATTAAAAAAAAAATATATATATAGCTAAAATATGCAAAAATGCAATATAAACCTCAGGTAGAATACCTGAGACGTCGTTTGGAAAGATTTCTTAGCTTGCTCTAATTCATGAAGCTGTTGTTTATGATGCAATAGACGCTTTTGCAATCTTTTCCGGTAGCTACGTGAAGCTGATGATCGACTGGCATTGACGTATTTCCTCTGCATAGCTGATTCTCCTTGAATGAATTCCCAACGAGACAACAAACCTTCCAAAACAAATAATATACATGTATATTAACAATATTGACTCAAATAGTATTTATTTATTGAATCACACACACACACACACATACACACGCATGCACGCACACACACATATATGATATACCTTGCTCTTTGTTTTTCTCTTGATTGTCCTCCATACAGGGAGGTTGAATAGTGGTGGTATCTAAGCATACCGATAGAAACAATAATACCCAGCCTATCAGAATGACGTCCAGTCGGTGGGAGTTAGTAGATTGCCCACTCGTAAGAGGAGATAGCAATTTTCCCAATGTACGAACCATGGCATCAATAACTGAGGATTTGTTTGCTCCGGCCATTAACGATTTTCGTCCAAGGAATGTTAATAAAATAAACACTCTGAAAGTAAAATATAAAATAAAAATATAGAAATCTCGATAAATATATATTAGGATCACGTCTGGAAATATTATATGTAGATTCTTTTAGGTAAAACTAATTATTATTAATAATAATAAAATATTGTTACCGAATAATATATCAGAGTCAAACATAAAGCGACAAACCTATCTTGTGGGAAAACATGAGTAGATGATGATGAGTAAAGATTTATCAAAGTATTCGACAAGAAATTGCCCCACCATGGTTGATGACCTGCCATGCCAGCCAAAAGCGCAGCAGCGTGAAGTTGCAAACGCGGTGCTGGCGTTACAACACATATTGAATGAAAAAATTTTTCACAAATCGTCGGAGTAAACACTTCATACAGCGACATAGGTACCTATGTTAGAAACAATAAATAATACATGTATAAAATTTTATAAAATTGTCTCTTTAAAATATTTCATATAATTATATTATATAATTGTGAATTTATTATACGTAGTTATTATATAGTTATTATATATAGGATGTCCCAAAAGTTTGAAAACGACCGAATATCTCAAAAACAGTGTATTATATCTCAACAGTGCATTTTAGAAAAAAATGCTTTAGATGAAAGTTGTAAGGTTTAGAAGGTTTTAAAACTTATGCATTTAATGATATTATCCGTTCGACCTTGAGTGGCGTTGCTAAAGTCAGGTCAAGGTCACATTAATTTTTTTTAAGTAAAACTCTATTTTTATTGTATATTCTTATATCTCAAGAACTTTCAAAAATACTATGATAACGTATTTTTCATTAAGTATATATTAATTATGATAACGTATTTTTTCATTAAGTATTTTTTGAGTAATGAAACTTGAAAGTTACAATACCACTAAATTAACATTACCCAAGGTGTACCACGCGGAGGTTGCTAGGTCGGATTTACACCTCTTTCGTGTGTGTGTGCGTGTGCGTTCGTGTACATGTACGTACATGCGTGTGTATGTGTGGATAGGTGGGTGTGATGTGACGCTCCTCAGTCCTTATATGTTCCTTAAATTATCGTCGTAAACATCCACTCAATCACACATGCATTCATCCATGCATACACACGCATGCACACATACCCACATACTACACCCATACACATTCACACTCACCCTTTTGAGCTTTTGAGAAGCTCTCGAGATAAGCTATAAAAATATACAATAAAAATAGGGGATTCCATTTAAAAAAATCAATGTGACCTGACCTTAACAACGCCACTCAAAGCAAGGTCAAATAGATATTATCATTAAATGCAATCTTTTAAACTTTATAACTTTCGTCTAAAGCATTTTTTTCTAAAATGCACTGTTTTCGATCGTCCAGACTTTTGAAACAACTTGTATATGTATGTATGAATGTGTATATATTATATATGTATGTATAAATATATATGTATATAAATATTTAATATGTAGACATTTGGTAACATGAAATTAACAAAAACTTTTCTTATTTATAGAGTATACTTACATTAGCCACTGGACCAATTTCGTATACAGTATATAACAGGATATCAAGCAAAGTTTCTCCAAGGACTCGTAACTTATCACTGGGTGCATTCGCGAAAGACGTAGTCGATACATTTTGCAAACCTCTCCACGATTCCAGACGTCGCCAGACTCCTCGTACGATATTTAATTGATGTTGGAACATGATACATTCCTATAAAACCAATAAATAGATATCAAAAATATGTATCGATCATTTTCTCCACTCAGTTTTATCCACCAAGCCAATACGTTATAGGGCGCGATTCGTTAGATACTGCAAATGTTTTGAAGTGCTTAAAGAGAAGCCATTATTAATCTATACGGCGCTTTAAAATATTTGTAGCATTTAATAGATCGCACCCTATATCAGGCTTCGAAATTTTACGCCTTTTATCGTTGCCTCCCCACCTCACTCCAAATATCTAGCGGTCGAGCACCTAACACAACAGTGCTGTAGATAGCAGCGAAATATAGCGTATGGTAATAGCGCGAAAAATGTATCATTGCATAATGCCTAAAGATGTATTTTATCTTTTAGACTTATTACAAATTCCAAAGATAAAATGTAACTTTTTTTGGCAATGGTGTCGCACTTGCTACGTTATCTGGTTCTTGCCATTAGACCAGTATATATTGTTGTGTTAGGCGCTAAACTACTAACCAGGATTAGGAATCCTTGGGACAAATTACTTTCCTTTTCGGAGCTAATTTATACTTCATTTTACTTTATTTAACCTTTGCATTTCTTTAACACAGAGGTTCTAACAGTACTTTATATGTTTGTCAAATATGTACTTTACTGAAAAGTGAAAATTACGCGCACATGCATAAGTTTTAGTTTATCTTTTTATCCCAAAACTCTCCTTTACTAACAAATTTGGAATGGGCAGACCAGTGATAAACGACGCAAAGTTCCGAAGTTTGATTATAACCGTACATTTGATTTACCTGATATGTTTGTAATATTTTTGGCGATGGGCGCTCATTATTTTCGTGAAATATTTTGTTACAGCAAAGATAATGTTGCATATGCATGACATTAGGAGTTTCTGAACACAGCAATGGGTCCAATAAAGCTTTTAATCTTTCATTGGCTAAACTGAATCTAAAAATAGAAATCTTTCAAAATACTGACAAAAACGCATAAATATTTCGTATTAATCAGTTCAATTACACTTAAATAATTATGCATAATATTACTCTGTCGTGTGAGTGAATAAGAACATTATATCAATATCAGCGTAAAAAGTAGCAATATAATACCTGCATTGAACATCCTCTGCCAAAGCGGATAGTATGTTACATTGTGTATCAATGGTAGCTTGTAAAGAGGGATCAAAAATATTGTCGTCGAACGACAAAGAATCACTAAGCTCTGAGTAGTTCTCTCCAGGCAAGACCACCATGTGCCCGTAAAACATCCCCAACGGTATTTTACATGTAGTCGTGGACATTCCGTAACGTCCTATTGTAGTGATCTGGTAGCAATACGAAAATTAATGTTTATATAGTATAAGATCAACAAACAAACAAACGATATTGCGACAATTAAAACTACTCGAAGCCGTAAACAAAACATAACGAAATGCACAGCTAAAACAAATTTATTGCTGTCAACATATTATATGTTTACCTTAAGATATCTGCACACTGGTGGTGGCTGAAGATCACAGACAATCAGAGGTTTACTCCCAATATCGCCAGCAACGATAAGTCGAGTACCGTCCGTTTCTTCGCTCTTAGTCCATATATCTATCGAAAGCGACACCAAATCACTACATGAAGGAATCATCAGGTCCGTCAGCAATACAGGTGACCCAAAGTCTAGAATGACGAATCGTCGTGCTCCTGAATGCATTCTTTCCACAACCAATGCTTGCTGAGGTGGCCAACATAGCAATCTTCCCCATGGGAATGTGATATCTTCTCGCTGCAATATTCATAATTCATTAATATCATCAATAAAATAATCACTTCGAAATTAATGCTCTTCAAACACATTTGTCGGAGAGAAACGCGAGAGAGTGAAATACTATTTCCGCTACGAATATTTTGTTCACTGCGGGGAAGACACATCCGTGTTTTAAATACTGAAATATACAAAGGATTATACGTTATAAAAAGGGAATTTGTCATCTCGTGACCTTAATTTTTACTGACTAACCAAATTTAGAGCCAATCCTTTTACGGTAAAAATGTCGGGCCAACGATTTCGACAAAAAAGTCTCTGATTGATTTCAAATTAATTTATGAAATCAGCCATTAAAATTAAAGCCACGAGTGAAAATTACTACATACGCAATGTATAGTATTACGGCTAAGTGTCGAAGAACTTGAAGCAGAATCATAACTTTATCACTTTCGAGGAATACATATCTTTACAGATTTGTTTATATTCACAGGGAAGCATCTCGAGCCTTAAACTCATTATTCAACGTGATTCCTTTATGATAAAAACGATAGAATGCATATAAAGTGAAGAAACTTACTGAATATATTAATAGCGAGTTCGTTATAAGTTGTTAACAATATTAAACTAGCCCTAACTCTTGCATCAATCAATAAAGCCAGTGTACAAAAGGAGCACTGAAACCATGTCTGCTGCTTGCATACATAAAAATGCAAATAACCACTTACACGATGGTGTTAATGTAAAACTAGTTTGATAGCACTTGTGGCTGTAAACAACAAGTGACAACAAAAAAACTAGAAAAACTTTAGAGAGAAACCTATGATTGCATGAAAAAAAAACTGGTATATGTATATATATGTATATATATGTATATATATATGTATGTATATATATGTATATGTGTGTGTGTGTGTATATGCGAGGATGATATTGTAACATGGAATACATAATTTATTATAAATATCGTATAATACATGCAATTTGCGCTCAACATCACTCAGCTGCGTTTGATAGATGAGAAGAGTTCTATAACGAACGTGTGTGTTTCAATTACAACTAGCGTATTAACAAAGCGAATAAACGACAGAAAGAGAGAGATAGAGAGACAATTGTATTGCTGAACTCAGAAAATAAGAATAAAAGAAAGAATGGTGCATGTCTTCGTCTAATATAATCTACCTTTTTAAGATTGCCTTCCTCAACTTTCTTTATAGCAGTATCGAGATTTTGTACTGATGATTTTTCTTTTGTTATAATGGAACTTAATATATGTGAACTAGGCATATTGTTTTGTGTGTTATGCCAAGTCTGGTTATCGACAGACGTGTCATTAGCTTCGTCATAGTCTGATTGTTCATCAGGTGTGAGCAATAGTTGTGAAGATGGCTTCTTTAGCACTCTTCCTGTATACATACTAAGCAGATCGCTTAATGTAGCTGACGATTTAGTCTGAACATCTGGTCCTAGCGATCCAGCATCCAAGTTCTACAATGTATGTACAATTAATATTTCTATCTCAATTAAAACTGAATCTACTCTGAAAAAAAACCACCTACACTGTATATATTCGAACGTGTATCTATGAGAGAGAGAAGGGGGAGAGAGGGGGAAGAGGGAGAGAGATAGATAAAGCATTGTTTATTTGCGCCCTGGGACTAGTCCCTTTAAACACGAGAGCAAGAACGAGAGAAAGAGAAAGAGAGAAAGAGAGAGCGAGAGAGCCTATTCTACTCTCCTGCCTACTCTACGAATGCTAAGATTTTACTTAGCATATTGTCTCGTAGATTGTAAAAATTGTACTAGAGTCTGTTGCATTATGACGCTGGCGCAACGTATATTTACGAGTGTGATATTACGATTATCGACATTATTATACGCCAACGCTCTTCAGCGAAGCAACGAATCGTTTTGTACAACGCTATTTTAGTTACTATGAGACGATGCGTATCGCATCGTATCCGAGATTATCGCAATTCTAAACTGAATCTATAATACGCAGAGTAGAATACTCACGTAAGTATAATGTACCATTTTGACATCAGACGCGCCACTGTTGTTTGTCGCAGTGTTATCATAGAGAGTGGGTCCAATATTAATTGTACTCATACCGGGACCAATATTTTCCATCTTCGTACCATCGGAGGCAGCATGGCAAGTAAAATGAAGGGGTTCAACCTGAATCATATTCAATATTCCAAATATCACAGAGTAGTTGAAGGAAATATCAGTAAATGTATAGTATTATTCACTAAGATTTTTCTCTTAAATTTTATATTTTGTGTGTAGTGTATATATTTCGAACTCCGAAACTAAACATATAATTTAAAAAGATAAATCCTTTCCAACAAATTTATTTTCTACAATCCAAAATATAAAATCGATGTGATAAGACTCATCCAATATATTTACTCATTTTTTCCATTCATAGACTAGAGAATCTTAAAGATAGAGAGAAAAAGAGAGTAGCAAACTCGATCGCGTGACTGAATCTCCTTTAATTGATATTAAATAAGCTTCCTTTTTATGTGCACGCGTCAAAAATATCGAAAAATACAAAAATAGATCGTGAATAGAAAGACTGTCCGCTATTTTTATGAATTTCGAAACGCATCTGACTTATCCCATAAGAGAATTCTCCCAAATATTGTTAGAAAATAAATATATCAATTTTTTAAATAAATTTTTATAAATTTTTCAAAAATTTTTAAATATTTCTTTTTTTTGGAACATCTAAAGGTGCATAATTCAAACAATCTAATTACGTACTCTGCTGACTTCACATTCATATTATGACGTTACGTCACATATAATGCGCATTCAACGAGAAAAGGAAGCTTACTTAATAATATCCTAATATAAATTATCTAACATATCTAATTCAATGAATTATCTAATCATCTAATCAGATAAATTATCTAATTCATCTAACATTATCTAACATCAATTAGAAGAAATTCGGTCACGCGATCAAGTTTGCTACTCTCTCTATAGACTCTCTAGTCTATATGATTAGAGAAAATGAGTAAATATGATGGATGAATCTTATCTTACCAATTTTATATTTTAGATTGTGGAAGATACCTAATAATATCCAGAATGTCAGAGTTCCTTGTGTAGATACAAGTATAGAAATAAATAAGTGTGCTTTCCTGTATTAAATAGTAATGAAAGAACTTAAATTATAAATCAGTGATTGAATAAAGATATATTTTGAAGGACATATAGAGTTCACATACAGATATTATAGTGCCTTAAATTTTAGATATGATTGTTCTCCCAATTATGGGGAAGAATTATGAGACTACAATAGCTCTTGATAGACATTCTTATATCAATAAAATGCTCACACAATTGGAGGACACCAGCACCAGATAGTACAAGACCCCACAAAAAAATTGATAAGGGAATTGCGTGTGATTCTTACAAGATGGAAAAGGAATTCTTACGTGGAGGATGCCATTTATAGGTTTTTAATTTCGAGTGAGGGAATCCTTCTTAGGGCTTATGGATTACCGAAGATTCATAAATTAGATTGTCCTCTAAAAATTATTGTCTCTTCAATCAATAGCCCTCTTTACAATATCGCTCTTTTTTTACACAAATTAATTAAATCCAAGATTCCTCCAGCGAGAGTAGCATTATCAGCAGTTTTGATTTAGTGAAAAAGCTTTCTTTCCGTCGGCTTGATGATCATTATCGCCTCCTTTCACTTGATGCCGTATCTTTGTTTACTAATATTTCGTTAGATTTGGCGATTGCTGTGAAGAGACGTTGAAACTGCATTGCAACTTCTACTAAGATTCCTCTAGATAAATTTATTTTAGCACTGGATTTCGTGTTGAGTTCTACTTATTTTACGTTTGATAACATAATTTACCGCCAATTATTTGGGAGTCCTATGGGTTCTCCTCTTTCTCCGATTGTTGCTGATATAGTTCTGCAAGATTTTGAGGAGAGATTTTGAGAGAGCTATTCAAAAGATACCAATTCTATTGCCGTTTTATTTTAGATATGTCGACGATATTGTTTTAGCATCTCCTATAGAATTTATTGACATTTTAATTATTTTTAACTCTTTTCATCCAAGACTACAGTTTACTGTTGAACGTTGTCCCGAAAATAAAATTAATTTTTTAGATATCACGATTTCTGTTAATAACAATTTGATTATACTTGACTGGTACCACAAACCAATATTTTCTGGCAGATATCTAAATTTTAGATCTTTCCACCCTTTACAACAAAAATAACTACAATGATTGGTCTGTTTGATGGAATTTTTTTACTCAGTCACCCGGTTTTTCATAAAAAGAATATTGATTTAGCTATCCGCATTCTATTAAAGAATAGCTATCCTATTGACCTTATTTTTAGAATTTTTAGATCGTCGTCTATCTTTCTTTATTAATGAGACTAACAATATTGACAATGGTGTATCTTTGTCTGCAAAGTCGTATTGCACTATTCCGTATTTGAGTTCTATTTCCAAAAGACTTGGCAATATTTTCAAAAATGACTTAATATCCTTTCTTATTCATGCCTCAATCGACTTTCAGGTATCATAAAAGTGCATAAAAATAGACTTTCCCATAGTTTTTGTAATAACGTTGTATATAAACTTAATTGTATTGATTGCGATGCTTCATATGTGGGACAAACGGGCAGAAGGCTTTCTACGCGCATTTCTGAGATTACCAAAAGATCTTAATTCGGACTTGTCTGTAGTTCAGGGACACCGAATTAATCTAAATCATGAATTTAATTGGGAAAACGTTAAGATCTTACACGAAAAACGGTGTTATGTTAAAAAGTCAGTTGCTGAAATGATTTTCACTAAATTACAGAGAAAAGATTTAAATTTAAAAAATGATACTGACAACCTTGGAAACGGATATATATCATTGTTTAGAGACGCTTAGATACGTGTCCTTCTCGTTGTCTTATGCAACTTGACTTATTTCATGTTTATATATAAATTTGGAGGATTGCTGTTTGTTATCAGTCTCTTTCCTAGAGGTTTGGTTTTGCGATAACCCAGGTAAATTATTTTTCTTTAATTTTATTTAATAGCGTTTGCCTTGTTGTTTTGTTGTAGACAATACGACCACTGCACTTGATGAGGTGTACTGTGGGCAACGTTTATTGTTGCTAGGACTTCTAACCGCTTCTTTTATACTAATTTTTCATTGTGGGATGAGCAGAAAAACTGTTTGCTCATTGTGGCTGACCTGCAATTGCCGACGTTTTTTTTAAAATTATACTTATTGCGTTTACCGTTGTTTAATTTGCGTCATTGTTATTATTTAATTCTATAATTTTCATTGAAGAGGGTCTTGATGACCGAAACGCGTATGAATGAGTAAAAATGTCTTTTTTTGTAAATTGTTAAATTTGTTCATTCCATAATTGGGAGAACAATCATATTTAAAATTTAAGGCACTATAATATCTGTGTGTGAACTCTATATACTCTTCGAAATATATCCTTGTTCAATCACTTTCCTGTATTATTACTTATTGCTACAACAATTGGTTCTCCCTAAGTAATATATTGTTAAGTTTAAGTTTAATCTATCAGAAAAAACGTGTATTTGAATTTGATGTTTGAACATATATTAAAAAATCTCTTCTGATCTGTTAGCAAATTGAATCAATCTTAATTTTAACTTAGCTTTTCTTAATTCCTATACCTATACCTATGGTCAATGTTCATAGTTGCACTTATATTTACGATCGTTTTACGTTCATCCTTAGACGACGTACAGATCGTTTTGTCTAAAACATGAGACACCGACGAGATATTCCTAGAGACTGTCAATCCTGGGTAAGTTTTCGACACGGCCAAAGGACCCGGAGGGGCCCAGAGGTAATTGAAGAACGATGACAATACCGACCGTTTCTCACACAAAGACGCTTCTGTCTGTCCGTGTGACTATACCATCGACATATAATATTGGACGGAGCATTGTACCGAAATCGTATTGACAGACGTAGAAAGAGACAAGACGATGTATGAGTAGGAGCGGTTTATGGAGCACAAGACACTTACAATTCTATTAAATTTTTTTAAAACAATAAGAATATAGGATATAAGAAAAAGGTGAAATATAAAAATGTACGGTGAAATTTTTCCATGTCGTTAAAGCCCGTAAGACCGACAGTCTTTTCTAGTACTCGTCGGTGCCTAAGACAATCGCTTGGTCTTAAGGCTCTACTATTTCTGGGGCGGCCATATTAGTTTGATGACATCAAAAACGAGAAATGACACCGAAAATCCCTTGTGTTTTATTGCTTTATTTTTTACTTTTCCCTGAAGAACCAAATATTTTCCTAATCCTGAAACTTGTAAAAAGTACAGCAAACTTTAATATTTGACTGATATATCATATAGCATCGTAAAATAATTCCTGAAATAATGCTACATTTTTTAGTTGTCACGATAGTTTGACAGCTGAGATACCAGCTTGTATTAACACATTTAATTTCTCGATTTTCACAATGTATCACCAGTATCACTGAATTTGCTGTACATTTTACGGCTGTGAGGATCACGATAATATACACACTTCACGGAAACTGAAAAATAACCCGATAAAACGCAAGTAATTTTCCGAGGTGTTAAGTGAGGCCTAGCGTGAGCCTGGTCTAGTATCAGCCAATAAGTTACGCTGACACGGTTATTTCGTGTCACGTTCTCGACACTGCTAGGCGTCACCGTCAATTCAGACTTCCTGCGGCGAGATACCAGAGCCTTAAGATAAATGTTGTCTAAAACCTAAGACAATCTTACATATAAAATTCGACTATGAAAAAAAAAATATATATATATATCTACACGAGGGACTCTGGTGCCCGGAACCAATCAGAAATTCGATCACCTAATCGAGTCGATTATTACTCTATCTTAAGAAGTTCTCTCTAATATAAACAGAAAACGTTACCTCAAGAAGACCTTTCATATTGTGGTTAGTACATAGTGCCTTCAATTTACTGGGCACTACAAATTCACTAGCGGGATGCGTAGGCAGTGTGAGCAGGTCCCGCAAATCGATGGAATGCGCACAATGAGCAAATTTGGGCAAATGCGCGGAACTCGACGAAGTCATAGATGGGCCTGTTTGTTCGTCGGTTACAACCGTTGCGTATGTAACTGGCGTTGAACTAAATTTCGGTAGTATCGGTGGTTCTAAGTCGAATAGTTCCGTTTCGAAGGGCGTGTTATATAAACCAAATCTAGAAAAAGAGAAAAAAAATATTAAAATTATATGTTTCAGAATTATAGAATCATGGTGACAAGAGACAATTAAAACTTCAAAAAATACACAAGATATTTTTTCTGCATTTTAACGTGACTCTTTTCTTGCTATTGCTATTTTATATTAAAAAACCTTTGTTATCTATTTTATAAATTACATATATTAAAAGATTTGCACACACAACTAAAAATAGTTATACCTTGTCGCGAGCAGCAAATGGTAAGGATTTACTCTATTGGATAACTCGGTAGCTATCTGTTGTACCAAAGAGACACATTTCTGAGCGATGCTGTGATTTCTATCCAAGGGTAAAAATCTAGTTATGAGTAACTGCAGCCATCTTAGTGAACCAGCCCACTGAACATCTATGATCGATGGCAATAAGTTTACTAGTACAGAAAGTATAGCCTCATCGAAAGTTTGACCTGGTGGATCATCTATATTATAAAATCCCCTGAAAGAAATCGTATAAAAATTCGTTTTTACGAAGTTCTACGAATGTAACTAGTATCGTAATAATTTATATAATCCATTATATACTCACCCACTGCAAAGAACAATTAATTTGACACACTTATGCGCTATACTTCTACCTGCGTGCAAGAGGCACGATCGTAACAAACTGGACAATCGTCCTTGCACAGAACGTATCGTTTCTAATTGAAGAGCTTTCATCTCAGCACTATTCTGCACGCTACGTAATCTCGTTAACCTTATTGAGGCTGCCCATACTAGAATGTCGAGAGCGATAGATTGTACAACAGGTGAACTGCAAACACAATTATTTATGTATGAATTTGATGTCTTATAGAATCCGATTTCCTTAAAGCTTCGTCGTTGTCGTCACTTACTCAAGAGATCCTTGTAAGCACGCAACATTCAGAAGATTATCGAAAAAGGTTTTAGATTCCAACATCGCGCATCTTTGTAGTCTTTCGTTCGATATATCGGTAGGACGTACCGACCTTACCGTAATCGAGATTTCGTGAATCCAGTTACATCCTAATATAAAAAGATAAGTATATATAGCTTCTTGGCGTATAAAATTTAATATGAAGCATAAAACTATATATACATAATTAATATATAAAAAGTTTCTTTTATGATTATACATATTATACAGAGTGTAGTACTGACTGTGTATTATACTGAGTATGTACTGATGGTAACATATAAATCCTTTGGTGTAGGTTAGATCAAATTGAACAAAAAATTCTTCTACCATTTTGTCTAACCACACAAAATTTTGAGTTATATTTACCAACATAACATCCTAATTTTTTGCTGTTCCCACTTTCGTCAAGTCGTTCCCCAGTGCTATTGGGTACGAGTGGACGTACTTCAAATATCCTTAGCTTTTTACAAGTAGGTGGTTTGGTCTCAAATGGATTCACTTTCGCCTTCGCAGATGCCTGTGAAATAAAAAATGAAAGAACACTTTTATTCTCAATATCACAACTCAATCGTAAAAACAGATCATAGACAAATTGACAAATATTACTTACACCATCTTTGGTCTGATCTACTAAGGCTTTAATATGAACGAGCAACGTTCTAACTTTTGAGCGAAATAATTTCGGGCTTGTTAACGTAACACATCCCGAGCGACATGATAGATCCATGCAACGGTGCAAGTCGATAGGACCACACAGGATTTCAGTGTTATGCTGACGCTGATATTCCTCCGTGATGACTGGATTTTCGTTCCTTTGATCGCTTCCTAAGTTAAAATCTATTCTTTCATCTACTGGAGTGGATGACGCTTTCTGATGGCCGATTCTCTTTATATTTTGCTTCAACAAAGTTATTTGGATAGTCGGTAATTCTTGACAAAATGAATGCAAGGTAAATCGAACATCAACATGTCCTATACTTCCAGATGCGCTTCGAGGTAATGTTAGTTCAAACACGTGCTCATCCCACGTAGTCCTAATATCAGATTCAAAGAGTATTTTAGTATATAATTTTATACAGAACGTTCTTCTGAGTCAGTTGTGCTTCCTTTCAAAGCGGAATCTTTGACCAATTTTTTAAAACATTTTCCTTATCAAAATATAACTTTATCTCTATTATATATTTTTATTTTTTAATATCGCATATCTCTCATAGTCAAACAGATAATTTAGAACTAAGTAACTAGTCTACTTGACTAATTACAATCATAGCTTCTCCTATCAAGTTGAATAGTTCATTAAAACTATTATTGCAAAAACAAAAAACTCGCAGTTGAAAGGAAACATACCAAAGATAAAACACACATCTTGTGTACTGCTGAAATATCTATTACATTGTAACATCATGTCGACTTACGTATCATTCTGTAGCCGCCAAGTTCTCGTATGATGTTGATCTTCCGATTGATGAAGGTGCTGCGGATGACGCCTTTGTCTTTGGGCCTGCATCATTTCGCTCCAACATGGAGGAACTGTCGCGCTATATGCAGGCGAATGTCGATCGAATCTTGTAAGTTCATACAAGAGTCGCAAGTCCGTGTAAGAGAAATTAGTCTTGTGTGCCAATAATTGATCACTGAAATATTTGAAATATACATACGTTAATTTCACTTAAATATTTAAAAACAAATAAGTGAATAAGTGAAAATAAATAAATGCTAAATGCCATATAAAAATAAAACGCTTTTGTAAATGCGATATCGATTCAAAACCATGTCTTGTCTGTTTTAAAAAAAAAAATCACAACATATCTCTTAAAAAAAAATCATTTAACACATTTATGAATTTATGCATTGATGTACACTCTAAATAATAATGTCTTATAATAATAATAATAATAATAATACTCAATATTCTATAATTATGATTAAAATAACGATTAAAATATTAATACAAAATATAAATGATACTGCATTAATCATTTTTTAAAACAAAATTAAAACTATCAAAATAAAATTCTTAAGATGTTTGCTTATATTATAAATCGAACATGAAACATTCGGTGTATGAACTTACTGGCAAGTCGATGTTGACGTATTAGGAGCCATATTTTCGTTGGCGCAACCCTCTTTGTCAACCATAATCACGTCTTCAACGTCCTCCTTCTCCTCCGTGGAGTCTTCCTCCTCCGCTGTGACAAAGAAGTGCAGAGTTCCGTCGCTCGTGCATACGCACAGTCTTTCCAAACCTAAAAACAACCCAGTCATGTTAACACATGGACTACCCGACATACTTCAACGTCCTCAAACATTTCAAATGAAGCGTCCTGTATACAGGAGCCATTTACTCTCAGATTTACTTTCCTCCGTCAAAGGAAACTTACTGTTGCAATAAGTCGCGGAGATAAATTTCTTTCCTTCTAACCTAGCTTCGGTTACGATTTTCAACGTGCTTAGGTTTAACAATCTGACTACGCCGTCCTTACACACCAGGGCGACTTGTCCAACGACAGATTCCTGAGCGACCGAATTGCTAGTCGGATTAATGCCAGGACTAAGAGAGGACGACGTCCTCTTTTGCTTCTCCTGCAGTGGAAGGAGTTCGTGTTCGATTGGCGCCTGTTCCAAAGGCAGTTCTCGCTTCACCAACGGCTCTGACATCACTTGTACTACCGGACCCGAGAAGTCCAAGGCGTATAAGAGCAATACAACATTTGTGTTGCTCTCGTTACTGCGCGTCTCGTCGTTTATCAGTTTGCCGGATTGGGTGTCGCTATGGTCCCAGTACATGTAACTCTTTTGTGGAAAGAAGTCGCTCTCGTCGTCAACATCCATCTGATTGGTGTTTAACGAGGAAAGCTCGGCAGAAGCGTTATCTATCGAGGGACACATCGCGACATACAAGTGCCTTCCATCCTTAGTCGGAGATATATACATAATACGAAGGGAATCCGGGGCATTTATAGCTAGAGTCTTGATTACCACTGGCTCAGCCTTGGTTATCTTCATAAGGTCTAAGCTCTTCTTGTTCATCGTTGTCAAGTTGGATGTCGATGCGAAATGAGCCGAACTGTTAATAGGGTTAAAATTGGAATCGTAGGGGGTCGATGTAGTCGGCGCGGTAATGCCAATGGGAGTGGAGTAAATGCCGTTAGAAGACGAGGCAGTTAAATCGATGGTTGGAAAGATACCGTCGTAATGCGGGCCGACTACCATTTCCGAGTCTACGTCTTCGATAACTGGCACTTCATATAAAAATTTACCCAGGAAGAGCTCCTGATACAAACTTTCTTGGCGACCTCCGTTCGAACTGGCGCTGGTTCCCGTACCAGATAGAGTCTTCTTCGTCTTGGACTCTTTCGAGTTGTCTTCCTTGATGGGTTGTGCCGTCGCGGTTTTATGATGAAAGTCGTACAATACTAAGTAATGCAATCTTGATGGTATGCACCTATCACCAGCTACCTTCATTATGTCTAGAGTATCACTAGCGGCACTATTTACACTGTTCATCGCGCGAACAAGCGAAGATGAACTCGCCAGATCGGTCGATGTGGCCCACACATTCTCTAAGGTCCTTAATTGCGAAGGATTATTAACTGTCACTGTAACTCCGCACACTAAGCACGGTCGTATTTTATAGTCCGACGCCTCGGTACTTATAGACGACGTTGTGGAACTAGTGGTGCTTTTCACTTCCTCCTTCGGGGATATCGGAGATCCTACTACCGAGAGAGCCGTAATCTGTACTTTATAAAAGGACGAAGATTTGTATTCCGAGAGCGGAGCAGTGTCCGAGCTTAGATTCGTTAAATATGAAGTAGTCATATTTCTCGTAGCGCAGAACTGTATCGATTCTTTATTGTTCACCTCTTGATCTGAGAGAGATATATAAAATGATACTTCTCTCTGAAAGAAACATATTACATTAAGTGGAGTTGTGATTCTCGTAGGATTTCATCGTAGAATTTTTAATTATTATGGTAAAATATGAACATGGTAAAAATTTCGAGCGTTTACCTTCAACTGATTCGTTATATTCCAGATATTTATAAAACCGTTGGAAGAGGCTGTAGCCGCAAGGCCCGTGACATTTGTAGTACCTATGATGTCCACCGTATCGCCCACTTCGCGAGCGGGGGCAGTCGCAAGGGTAACGGACAGTGGAACATTCTGCGTATATTCACCCTTAACGAACGGACACGCTGGCGAGTGCCTCTCATGTTCCGACCACGGTTCGTCCGTGGGCTCCCAACACACGAGGCAAACGTTACAAGTGAAACACATCGCTCTGTCGTCACCAGTAGCATTTGGCTCGTGATAAAAACCAGCCTGCGCCATTTGGTCAGGTAAAGCCCATCTAGAATATATTTTATTACACTTTAGTCCATTGAAGTTTTACATAAAATTCCAATATTACATTTCCAATATTACATTTGATGTTCAATCAGATATAATTGACGACGCTAGAAACAGTATTACAATGCGTTACATACTTGTAATTCATATGTGGCCATTTTGGAAAAGTATCACGACGTGCCGCTTCGCTAAACATTAGCGCTCTATCAGCGGGACCACCTTCTAACGCAAGGCCAGGTAGTAGGCCATTCAGTCGTTCATTAATCGCAGAGGCAATTGGCAATGCTGGTATATGCCGATTTTGCCTCTTTAATTCCATCACTAAGCTGGAGCATACGAGCTTCAAAGATCCATGCGGCAATTCCAAACAAATCGTATTCCACTGTAATCAAAATTTTCATTATTTTTGCGTGTGATATTTCAACATTGAACTGATATATGTTCATGTAACATATATCATGATATATGTTCATGTTTCCTACGAGATTAATAGGATAATGCATATATTTGTGTATAATAAATTTGTGATTGATATTAAATTAATGTAGTAGCATTTATATAATGTAATTAGCAAGCTTAAAGTTAAACAATGTTTAAGCACAGTAAATATATTAGCATACAAAATGTATGTATAAAAGACAATTTAAATATTCAGTTCTTACAGATACAAAAAGGAAAAGTTGAGTAAAAGATAATTATTTTAGAGTTCTCGTAATAATTGTTTATTATAATTTAAAAAACTGCATCAGTCTCGTAGTAATATACCTAATATAACGTGAGATAATGGCAATTTAATTTTATAACTTTTGCACTTTTGCAGGATGCAGAATTGCTTGCCACATAGCAAGCGTCTCCACATCCTGTATGCAGAAACCATTATGAAGTGTGTACTTACTTTTTGAGCTTTAATACCTTTCTTCTGATTCGTCTGTGCAGCAACAATTTTACTCGAAAGTTCTTGCAATACCTCCAATAAATGCTCTACTCCTGGCAATTCTACACACTGAAGACATTGCAGTAATAACGCAGCTTCCGACAAAAGTAGTTCCAACTTTACAACATCATCACTCTTAGACACTGGAGTTTGCAAAATAGTATCTAACAAAAGAACTCCATTATAATCACTGCGTATACCAATCCCCCGTCCATCTGTATACAGCACTTTGTCTATTCCATTTGGTAGATATAGTCCTTGCAGTTTTCCATTTGATTTGCCTACAACAACCACCAATACAATGTAGTTCTTGTTATTACATGATTTTTTGAAGTTACATAATATTAAATTGACTTAATACAATTTACCTGAATGTTCTTAATAACACTAAAACACTTGAAAATATTTGGTAAAATTTGTTTATATATTTATTTAACTAAAATTATAAATTATAATATTATGTATATTCTGTATTTGAGATAGAAAAGGTCTACACTCAGCCAAACACCAGGGAGAAAAATGAAGAAGTAGAGATATCAAAAGAAAGGACAAAAAGTTTAGCCTGAAGAAATAAATTTACTGAATCACTATTTGCAATCTCTTTTATTAATTTTAGTTTGGCAGTAATGTCTACTTTCTTTAACTACCTTCTGTATTCGTAACTTTTCTTCTTTTTGGGAAATTTTCTATTAAAATTTTTGAAAACTTATGTAAAGTGAATACATATATAAAATTATTAATTCTGACAAATATAAACAATTTTAATATTTTTGTTTTTGAAGCTAGTAGTCCAAAAAAATATCCTCATTGTTACAATTATATGAAACAAAGAATAGCATTAGCAAAAAAATGTTATCTTGGGAAAAGTCAACTCTAAGAAATGACATGATACAATAAATTATAAAAACTATATTTAGATAAAAGAAAGTTGTTATAGCTAAAATATTACATTATTTGTTATAGCTAAATATTACGTTAGTTGTTATAGCTAAAATGTTACATTATATTATCCATGCAATCACCATTAGAAAACAATCTATTTTTTTTAACTACATTACATTACACTTTCTGCTCTATCAAACATATACACTGAACCTAAAACAAAAGAAAGAAGAAAAGTTTCGAATACAGAAGATAGTCAAAGAAACTAGACATTACTGCCAAGCTAAAATCAATAAAAGAGATTGCAAATAGTGATTCAATAAATTTATTTCTTCAGACTAAACTTTTTGTCCTTTCTTTTGTATCTCTACTTCATCTCTCTCCCTGGTGCTTGCCTGAATACAAACCTTTTCTATCTCAAATACAGAAAGTGTAATATAACACAGTTAGAAAAAGATAACCAGAGATTGTTTCCTAACGAATTATTTAACATACAATTAATGTTTTTATACGAAAGACAGGTCATCACGAAACAGTCCAAGCACATCTGACGTTCGGAGAACGTACGGCGACCTTGACCATGAAGCAGTATTGCACAGTATTCCGCAAACGTCAGATTGTTCACAATAGTTGGTGACGACCAGTCATTTTCTCTCAGGATCATCGCTCATCAGCAAAAATCGATCTATGACGAGCTACATGCTCACCGGACAAAGTACTTCTTTGCAGGATTACGCCGGAATTGACATCGAATACGTATACTTGTGTACTGCCAGTGGTGATGAGTAGAACATTTAAATTTGCGTGATAGATAATACTTTTGCACTCAGTATCCACGTTTAAGCAACCGTCTTCCTTCAGTAGCCACGGGTCATCATCAGCCATTTTGCTCATGCGGATCAGGATACTCAAAAATCTCTCTAACGCTCGAACATCACGAAAAACATGGCGCACTCGTCATCGCCATCTTCGAGTAGAACGTCAGCATATCGCTCTGAACGTAGCCAACAGTCATCCCTCCCACTTAATTCAAATAATGGAGAATCCACATTGCGTCCGACATTCGATATTCCGATATTCAATAGAAGAGCTTGTTTTCTAGAAACAAAAGTATCACTGTAGGGTAAAATTACTTGCAGAGTATGGATGCGTTCCCACTTAGCGCGTCACGCACACGTCGTCCGTCGCGGACCAATCAAATCGTCCCATTTTATTGCCTAACTTTACGACGAATAAAAGGGGACGATTTGATTGGTCCGCAAAGGACGACGCGTGCGTGACGCGCTAAGTGGAAACGCACCCTAGAGTTACCTAGGTAATGCAGGATTCACACTGCGTCTGATGACCGACGTACGACATCCGATATATAGGATAATAGGATATATCCGATAATAGGAGAACAGCTTTCTAATAGAGAATTCAATTCTCCATTGGAAAGCTGTTCTCCTATTGGATATCGGACACGGTGTGAATCCTCCATAAATCTGCGTTCGTTTTGGCGCTTACGACGCTCTGAGCATCATTTCATCCTTGTTTCTATCAAATACTAATAGCATGTTCAACTGACTCTGGATTAACGCACTCTGGGTTATTCAGCGTACGTTTATTGGTTGAACAAGTACTTATAAGCTTTATGATTGGCTAATAGAGACTTATGACGTTAATAATCGCTGCCGAAGCGATTAACCTAAGGCCAGTCGAACACGCTATAAACAAGGACACATGATGCTTACACGCGTTATAAGCGCCAAAACGAACGCAGCCATAGTCAGATCTTATATTTAAAAGGGAAGCACACATTCTTGCATAAAGGCATAATGCACAACGCATAAAATAATTAACCAATCAGAAGAGTGTATGAAGTTGGTACCCCACTTTTTGAAATTTATAATTTTGAAAGTTGTTCCAGATTGTTCTGACTTTGTACCACATTGTTCCAAAATAATATTGCTTCATTCGAAACGGTTTTCGAATAAAACAAAAAAAATGATTTTTTGAGCTGGCACCCCACTTTTCGAAAATCGAACATTCTGATACCGCAATAGATTGTTCTAGTTGTTCCAAACATTGTTCCAAAAGGACAAATCCGTAAGTTGAATTATAAGTCCAAAAAATGAAAAAAATGTTTTTGACCTGGCACCCCATTTTTTGAAAATAAAGCATTCCGATACCGATATAGATTGTTCTAGTTGTTCCAAACATTGTTCCAAAAGCACAAATCAATAAGTTTAATTATAAGCCCGAAAAATTAAAAAAAGGTTTTTTGACAGTCTATCGGACCAAGAGTAAACTAT